AGGAAGACATGAGTTCAAATCTGTCCTCAGACACTTACTAGCTGTGTAACTCTAGGCAAGTCGCTTAATCTCTGTTTGCCTTCAACTGTAAAATAGGGATAATAATAGCAGCTAACTAACTACATGTCTACTGTGAGAATCAAAGGAGATAATATTTGTAAAGTGCCTGGCACATAGTAGGGAGAGGGGGCTTGGGTGCTTGTACTGGGACCCCAATTCCAAGACCATGTTTCTCCTTAGCCTCAGAAACACTAACCTTAGCCGTTTCCCTCCAGCCCAAGGACACTGTGCCTAGCAAAGACTCACTTATCTCTCTCCCTGGTGCAGTTACACAAAGCTGGGTAAGAGAGTAATGGGCTGCTCAGGCCCCAGCCCTAAGATCATGTCTCTGAAAGCCTCCCAATTTCTTAGTAGGCTCCTGTCCTGCAAGAAAATTTTCAAGGTAGCTAGGTGGCATAGCAGATAGAGCACCGACCCTATAGTCAGGAGGACCTGAGTTCAAATCTGACCTCAGATCAAAAGCTTGACACTTACTAGCTGTGTGACCCTGGGCAAGTCACTTAGCCCCAATTGCCTAAAAAAAAAAGTTAAAAACAAAAGAAAAATTTCTCTTGTTCCAGAATGCATTCTCTACTCAGGTGAGAGAGAGGGGGTGCCTGGCCCAAGGATTTTTGTCCCTGGCTGACCCAAGGACTCTTCCTCCCAACAGATCCCCAAGGTCCATGCCTCTGACAACTTCCTCAATGTCTGGTATACTCCCTACACTTTGGCATCCACAGTTCCCAAAGACACCTGGGCCTTTAGATTACCTAATCAGTATCCCTGGCATTCCTTTCCCATGTCCTTTTCCATATAAACCCCAGCACCATCCTCAGTCTCTTGCAGTTTCCTTATGAATCCTCGCCCGCTGAAAAACATAACAGTAAACCTTTGCCAACTTGACTCAAAGAATGCATGAGTCTGTGAATTCATTCCAGATGACACCATCCTGTACGCCAGTCTTTGAGAGCTCTCCACCTCTCAGACCACAACATCAGTTGCTATATAATATTTTTCTTAAAGTTTATGTAAGGCTAGCCTACTAAATTGACAATTAATGGAAAATTACAGTAGGAAGGGGGCTTATGAGCCATGGCATTAGGAGGATATCCATAACCCCACAGGGCTACCCCCTAGAGGCCCCAGGGGACAGAGTAGCCACACAGTGGCCACCTGAGCTCATCAGGGCCAGGGGAAGTTGGGATCATTATGTCAGAACACGTGCTGAAAAGGGAAGATTCTCTGCAGCTTGCAGGCTAGGACCCTATGAACTTCATCAGGTCACTAACAGCCCTAATGAGCTCTTCTTAGATAACTGTAAGTGCTACCATTTTATGCAATCCTTCGCCAATTTAAAAACAAACAAACAAGCTTCTTAAGTAAAAGCTCAAACTTACAAAATGAAAATGGATCATTTGGGACTTTGCTACATTACAAAAAGAGAATCACATTTTGGTGGGCACAGAAGACAGTCCTGAGTCAGTCTGGCACAGTAAAAAATCACTGCTGGTCTTGGGCTCAAGAAATTTGGGTTTAACTCACATCTAGGTGCACACTAGCTGTGATCACTGGCAAGTTAACTTCTCGTGCCAGACAGGCAGGCCAAGGATACATATGTATCAAGTGCCACCAAGGGCCAGGCACTGTACTGAGCGCTGGAAATATAAAGGAAGGGAAAAGATAGTACTTCCCTCCAGGGAGCTTTCAGTTTAATGGGGGAGACAACGAGCAGACAGACATGTACAGACAGGCAGATGCCGCATAAAGAGTAACCAGTTAGGAGAGGCAAGGCACTAGGATTAAGAGGGGCTGGGAAAGGCTTCCTGGAGAAAGTGGGATTTTATCTGGGACTTGATGAAAGAAACCTGAAAAGCTAGGAGGCAGAGGTGGGGAGGGAGAGCATTGCAGATGTGGTGGAAGGCCAGAGATAATTCTGGAAGGGGAGAGATGGAGAATCTTGGTGGAACAGCCAGGAAGCCAATGTCCCTGGATGGAAGGGGTGTGTGTGTGTGTGTGTGTGAGTGTGTGTGAGTAGTAAGAGACATGGTACAGGCAGATCCATCAGCAAGCTAGTGCAGCATCCCAGGGGTAAGGTAATAAGGGGCAGCACTAGAGTGGTAGCAGTATCAGAGAGAAGGGGATGTATTCAAGAGATAATGCAAAGGAGAAATTCCCAGATCTTGGCAATGGATTGGAAATGGGGGGTGAGAGTGAGAAGTTGAGTGACATGTAGGTTTTGAGCCTTGGGGACTTGGAGTACACAAGTTGACAATATTATTATAGGGATTTTTGGAGGGGGCAGGAAAAGGTTTAAGAGGAAGGGTAATAAGACTAATTTTGGACATTGATTTTTAAGACATCTCGGTTTCCTCATCTGTTAAATGGATTTAATACTTGCACTATCTACCTCACAGGGTTGTGAGAAAAGTGCTTTGCAAATCTTAATAAGCACTATATAAATGGTACAATTTTTTGGTAATTGTTTATAGATCTTTTACTGGCCAGGAAAAGGAACATTTAAGTCAAAGTGCTAGATACCATTCACTGTTAATTGAAAAACCAAAGGCTAAATCTCTACAATTGAAATATAAGTCAATGACCAAATTATGTGAATTACAAAAAACTTTAATTTACAGACATTTCAGGAAAACACTAGTAAGGTATATTTGTACACTTCATAGGGAAAAAAAGCCAACAATCCACAGTGGACATATGACAGCAAGAATGCAGTGTTTACCACATGTAATGTCAATCTTAGTATTTGGGAGTTTCAAAATTTCACAAAACATATCTATTTTTCTTTACAATGCTTTGCTTCTGCAGATATACCAGCTTAAAAAAATCTTAGTACTTATGTGGGTTAAGTATTTTTTAAAAGTAAAGATGCTGAAAATTATCATAATAATTTTTAATTTTATGTAAAATTATTGTAATGTGTGCCTGGATATATGCCCCTTCCCTCTCCCTTTCTCATTTGAATGGAAAAAAATAAATTATCTGTCCCACAGGAATGGGACATAGAAACGGGGAGGCGGGGAAGGCTGAGAAAGGGACTGTTACAGAGGGAAGGGCCTCCTGGGGATCTAGCAGGAGAAAGCCACAGTCACCAGGCAACCTGTTTGTTCTCCTCTTGGAACAAGGAAAGAACAATGAAGGCTTAGGAGACTTTCTGACCTGACTGTGGAAAGTGTCAGGAAGCAGGGTGTGGTGCTGCCTGTCTGAAATCCCTGTTTTCCTGGGGAAGCCGGGGCTGGTGGATTGAGCCCCCCAGTGACAAACTACGGCTGAGTTGATGACAATGGGGTGTTATTGGAAACCTGGCAGGTCAAAGTTTCTGTGCCGATCAACAGTGGAATCTGGGTGTGAGTGGACACTTTCTTCCAGCCTGCCCAAGATAGGGAGACCCAGTCTCAAAACGATAATAACTAACAGGGTCACACAGCTAGTAAGTGCCCGAGGCTGCACTTGAACTCAAGTCTTCCTGACTTGCAGTCCTGACAGTCTACACGTAGACTCTACCCTGTTTCCTCCTTTGGCCAGAGCTGGGACAGGGATTATGGAGGAGGGGTTTTATCAGAGCTCTCATAATCGGGCCTGTGAATCTAGGGATTTGCTCACATTTCGGCCAATCTATTCCATTATTGTCAATTTCCCAGCTTCCAATAAGAATTCTTCCTAGAATAGGACGGACGGTAAATTTCCAATCGGGGAGCCTGAGTAGACCGGGAGGGATCATGCGCACCCGGCACTTTTGTATTTTGCTGAGTCTTTTCAGTAGGTCCGACTCTTCTTGATCTTATGCGGGGGTTTCTTGGCAAAGACGCTGGAGTGGTTCGTCATTTCCCTTTCATTGACAGGCGTCATAACCCATTTCCTTATCTCTAAAATGGGTACAAGAGCTGGCGCCTGCTTCACCAGGCAGTGGTGAAGGTGAAATGAGAAGGTCAGGAAAGAAGGCACTTTGAGGACACCCAAGCTGCCGCGTAAGGCAGCTCTCGCTCCCCGGGGAGGCCCGGGTTTGCAGAGCGAGCAAAGTACCTGGAGAATGCTACTGCTACTGAATCCTAGTACTACTACCGCTACTACTGCTGCTGCTGCTGCTGCAGAAGCTACTGCTGGGCCATTGGGCTCCCCGGAAGGCTTTACGCCAGGGGCTGTAATAGTCCACAGGCTTCTTTGGGATGCCTCACCGTCCCAAAAGAGGGCCTCAGTTTCCTCACCTGTACAAGGTGATGAAGGTGATAGAGGGCAGAGTCCAGCTTGGAGAAAACACTGGCTTCAGAAACCGAGCGCCCGGGCTAACTGGCAGTCTGCTTCTTACTTGTGACTGAGTCACTCGGGGGTCTCCTATAAGATGAAGGGATTGAACTAGACGGACTTTAGAATATGTTTGCAATTCTAAATCTGTCGTTGTGACAGGCCTCAGATGTGTGACCCTGGACGAGTCACTTCACCCCCTTTGTCTCAGTTTCCCCATCTGTAAAATGGGCTGGAGGGGGAACCGGCCAACCACTCCGGTATCTCTGCCGAGAAAACCCCAAAAGGGGTCACGAAGGGTCGGACGCGACAGAACAACAAAAGCCTGGGGGCTGGTGGGGCGGGTGGTCGCAGGCTCTGAGCGCCCAGCGGGGGGCTTCCTACTGGGTCCTGGAGGTGACAGGAGCCCCTGGGAGTTACTGAATGGGGGTGGGGGAGTGAGTGTGTGTGACTCGGTCAGACCCAAGTACTGCTTCTGGGGCCGTGGCTAGTTAATTTGACGTCTCTTTGCCTCGGTTTCTTCATCTGTAAAAAGAGTAGCTTCAACGCCCTCGGGGCTCCCCTCCCCGCTCTCGCTCCGGGAGCCCCCCACAGCGCCCCCTGCGGCCGCCTCAGCCGCCGGCCTCGCTGTGGCGATGCGCGCCCTCTTTTTGTATCGACGTGCGGCGCCGGGGGCGGGGTCAACGTCCTGACGCCATTACGCGCGCGTGCGCGCAGGCGCAGACGGGGCGTCGCGCGGCCCCGAGAGGCAGGCCGGTGCTGCGGCTCCGGCTCCGGGCCGCGCTGGAGCCGTCGGAGGCGTCCACGGCCCTGGCCCCACAGCCTCCGGCAGAGGTCCGAAGGAGGGCCCGCCGAGGTAGGGCAGTGCTGGGGGACGCCGGGCGGGCCCAGAGCCCCTCCCGGGATCCCCGCGCCTCATGTCTGTTCGGTCCTTGCTTCGTTCTGTCCGCCGTGTCCGCTGCCGAGGGCGGGGAGGGGCCGTGGAGCTCAGGCCCCCATTCTGCAGACGAGGAAACAGGCACAGTTGCGAAGCCCCCGTTACTGCGCTCTTGCCATGTGCCGGGCACTGTGCTGAGCGCTGGGGATGCCCAAAACCCCTACCGCAGTCCCTGCCCTGCCCTGCCCTGCCCTCCCTGCCCTCAGGGGGCTTCCAGTCCTGGGAGGAGCTCTCGCTCCTGGCGTCCCCGAGACAGTGCAGGGTCAGCGTAGGACCAGCGTAGGACGGGCTGGGAAAGCGGAGCACAGGCTCGTCTAGGGAGCCAGGGGCTTCCCCTGAGCGTGGGGGCTTGGAAGTGCATGGAGGGGAGCGGCAGGCAGGAACCCCCCCCCCCGCCAGCTGTTGTCACAGTCCAGCTGCGAAGTGGTGAGGTCTGCACGGGTGGGGGCAGGGGCAGAGGAGAGAAGGGGGCGGATTCGAGAGGTGCGGTTGGCAGGCCCTGGCACCATATCGGATCGGTCGGGGTGAGAGATAGCGAGAAGTCCATGTTGTGAGTCCGAGACGCTAGGAGGATGGTGGTGTCCTCTGCAGTAGTGGGAACGGTCAGAAGATGGGAGAGAGTGATGTCAGTTTTAGACAGGACTGTATTCAAGATGTCTGTGAGACAGCCAGTTAAAGATAGGCGTTTAGAGATTCAAGGTGGTAGATTAGGAGAGATGTTAGAACCGAATCTGAAAGTCGTCAGCATAGAGGCTATCATTGATTATCTGGGGGCTGACATCATCTAGTGACATAAAGTAGAGGGAGAAGATGGTCCAGGAAATAGCCTTGGGGGACATTCATGGTTAGTGGAGGTAACTTAGATAACCATTTAGCCAAAGAGACTGAGAAGGAGTTGTAGGGGAACGGGGGAGAGAGAGCAATGTCATAAACCCAGAGAGGAGAGTATCAAGAAGAAGGTGATGGGCCATGCTAGAGGCTGAAAAGGACAAGAAGGATGAGGATTGATGAAAGGGCATTAGATTTGTCAGTTAAGAGGTCATTGGTGGGACAGCTAGGTAGATAGTGGATAGAGTCTTAAAGTCAGGAGGACCTGAGTTCAAATCTGGCCTCAGACACTAGCTGTGTGACCCTGGGTAAGTCACTTAATTGCCTCTTAAAGAAAGAGAGAGATCATTGGTAACTATAGAGAGCATTTCAACTGATGGATGAGGCTGAAAGCCAGAGTGTAGAGTATTAATTAAGAGAGATGATAGGAAGTGGAGGCACCGTTTGTGGATGACCTTCTCAAGGAGAGCAGGGAAGATAGAGGAGGCAGTGTGCTGGAGAAAATGAGATGGAATGGGGGTCACTTGACTATGTGGAGGAGTTGCTTTGGCAAGAAAAGGGGAGGAGGAGGTAGTAGGAAAGGTGGTGGGAGGTGAGGATGAGAGAAGTGGGAGCTCTTGGCTTTTTTCATCGAAATATGAGGCAAGGGTCTCAGTGAGGGTGGGGGTAGGCAGAGGTGGTGTGGGGAATGGAATTGTGACTGGGTAGGGGTAGAGGGGTGAGATGACCTGTGCCTAGGGTTGTATACCAGTGTGTCCCAAGACCATCGATACGAAGCTGGAAGTAGCTGGAGGTACAGAGAGGGCAAGTGCTTTGCCCAGAGTCACACAGGCAGTAAATGTCTGAGGTGCGATTGGATGCCAGATCTTCCCGATGCCAAGCCCAGTGCCCTGCAGCTGTCTCAAGCCCTTTTAAAGATGTGAGCTCCTTGAGGACAGGAACTGCTTCATTTTCCTCACTGTCCCCAGGACCCAGCATTGCATCTGACAGTGCATGTGTGCTGATCAAATAATTTTCTCACTTTCCATCCCACAACAGCCCTGCTGATGTTAAGGCATCTTCTTCATTTTCCACATAGAGAAATTGGCTCAGAGACACAGACAAAAATAACCTTCCCATGGTCACACAGCTCGCGTTTAAGGCATTTGAACCCAAATCTTATCGTTATTTCTGGTGATTTTTGTTTGTTTCTAAACTAAACAAGTTAAGAGTAGTATATAGAGAACTGGGCTTGAAGAGAGGAAGACCTGGGTTCAGATCCTGCTTCTGATACATTCTGGCTGTGTGATCCTGGCGAGACTAACTTCTTGGACATTCCAAGCAGCTTTCCCAGAGAGAGTTTCTTTACCTGGGTCTGTGAACTTGTCTTTTGGTTTTGGCATTTTGACAATTATCTTTCAATATAACTAGTTTTCTTTGTAATCTTATGTGTTTTATTTTATGCATTTAAAAACATTCTGAACTTAGATTTCACCAGATGCCAAAATGCATCCATGACAAAAAAAAAAAGGTTAAAAAAATACACATAAACCTTCTCTAAGACTAAAAAGTTTTGAAAAGGCTGTGGTCTGCCTTTAAAGAGGAAATTGTCCAGTCCCTGTCCTTATTCCTTTTAAACTTAACATTGACATGTTTTGGTTTAGTAGAAAGGTTTGGATTGTAATCTAAGGACCTGCTTCAAATTCTGCCTTGTATAGATTATTACCTACAAGATCGGTGACGAGTCACTTAGCTGCAGACCTGTTTAGAAATAAAAGTGTGGAGTTTGGAGTTGGAAAGACATAGGATTGAATCCTGCCTCAGACATTTACTAACTTTGTGGCTTTGAACAAGTCACAGCTCTTCTGGGCCTCAGTTTTCTGATGTGTAAAATGAGGGGGTTGTATTAGGTGGGTTCTTAGATCCCTAGAGCAAGGATTCTGTAACTTTATCAGCGTAGGAAACTCCCATTGTAATGGGAAGAGCCCTGACTCTCCAGGCAGAGGGCCTCAGTTCAAATGTCACCATCTAGTCAGGACCAGCCCAGGAGAATTCAGGTTGTGGTGGCTACAACGTGGTGCATCTTTGGCCAGAGAAACTCTTGAGAATCATCTGTTAGGGAAACATGGTACAGTGGAGAGAGCCCTGCCGCAGGAGTAAGGACTTGGGTTCGGTTCTGGCTCTGACACTTAATCTGCATGATTTTGGGGCCAGCCTTAACCTCTCTGGGCTTCAGATTTCTCTTTTATACAATGAGGTATTTGCACCACTAGATGGCTCAGTGCATAGAAGGCTGGGCCTGGAGTCAGGAAAGCCTGAGTTCAAATCTAGCTACAGATGCTTAAACTGGCTGTGTGATCTTGGGCAACTCACTGTTTGCCTCAGTTTCCTCATCTATAAAATAATAATAATAATAGCCCCTGTCATGTGGCTCGAATGAGATAGTAATTATAAAGCACTTCTTCCAGAGCCTGGCTCCTAGTAAGCACTACTTAACTATTAGCTGCTATTATTTTTATTCCAGGTCTGAATTGATGATCTTGTGTCTCAGGAGGGTTAGAGGGAAGGGAGAAAGGGCACAATTTTTTTTCTGGCCTTGCCTTAAACCAGTGTGCCACTTGGAAAAATAACCTTAGGAGCTGGTAATTGGCCTGTTCAGGCTCTAAATTAAACTACCCTTTAGTGATTCCTGTTCTATAGTAAAAGAAATTGTGCCCTTCCCATGTACCACACTAAAATCTGTACCAGCCCAAGTGAATGGGGTAGAGACAAGTTTTCTGGTTTGATCTAGTTTTCTTTTAAGTTAATGAAGCCAATGTATTTTTCTGTGAAGGAATTCCACAATAGCCATTTCCTTCTGTTATCACCTTCTTTCTCTAGCCTTTGCAGGTCATGGAGGCCTGATTGAGGTCACTTGAAGCCTGTGGGTTCCCAGAACTAAGATCTAGAAAAGACCCTAGACATTATCCCCAAATCTCTTCATTTTACAGATGAGGGAACTCGAGGCTAGTGAGGAGCAGTGATTTCACTAAGGTAGGAAATAGCAGCTGACCAAAGATACAGTAATTCTAGGCATAACTTACTTATATATTGATCTTAAGGTTTTCAGAGTGCTTTACATATGTGAAGGGGGAGAGATATGATCCTCCCCCTGTACGTTCTTTTACGTCCATTGTTTCATTTGAACCTCGAAGTCACCCCTTGAGTTGGTAGACAGACAGATACCAGCCCCATTGTACATATGAGGAAATAGGCTACAGAAAGGCCCACGGTGCTAGTGACTGTCGGAGGTATGCTTCTGACTTCTCATTCAGCAGGCCATCCGTAATACTGTGCCAGCCTTCTGTGCAGGCTTGTACAGGTGATGGATGACTTGAATTTGTCCTGTTGTACAAGAGGCAGTGAGCCCGAGTGTACATGGTTGCGCGAGGTCAGCGCCTTTCTGACTCCCTGATGGGTCCCTTTCTGTGCTGTCAGTCTGCCCACCAACGTGCCAGTGTTTGGCTGGTTTGCCAGTACTAGCTAGTATGATAGCTGAGGAGGTCTCTTGTCAACGGAATCAACTTCTTCATCAAATTTCTTCTCAAAGATGACTATGAGCATCCCAGGTGTTGGTGCAGGGAATCTGTCCATCCTACCAGATGACATAGTTTACCATTTATTCTGTTTGGGACATAGTATACTATTCACCTGAATAGTGTTTTCCTATTTAAAAAAGAGATAATGGTATCTTAGCATATGCCTCCTCTTAAAAGAAAAAGCTAGGGGTTTAAACATAAAGTTTAAGTTTATTATTCTCATCACGGTCTCCTATTTAAACATTTTGTGTATAAACAAAGTAGGTGATATTTTTCTTTTTTTAATGGGTTGATAAAATCCTTGTAAATTCTAGCTTGTGAGTTTTTCTTAAGTAAATGTTAAACATTGGAAGAGTGGGAGCAACACAGGAAAGATTTTCTTCCATTGGTATGAACACATTCTAGGAGCTGAAACATTTCATGATGTCTGTTCTGCATCGATAGCGATGGGTACTTTTTTTGTACTGTATGATCTCTATCTTGAAAGAACACATACATTAGCTGTATTCCAGGTGTCCGCTGCTTCTGAGCTTACTACCTGTTGTAGCTTCAGAGAAGTAATTTTACACTATTATCAGTTTTATTTTTGTTTTTTAACTGTAACAGAAAGCTTTCACCAAGAGCAAGGAGGGCTGGCCGAAGGAAAGGGGATGGCCTATTTTGCCAAAGAAGTTCGACTTACTAAAAAACATGAAGAAATGTAAGAATTTTAAGGTCACTTTGGATATGTGAATTATATTAGTTTTATTTAATTATTGTGCACAAGGAGATTTTATATGACAGAAAGTGCTCTTTCTGTTACTTCAGTTAACAGAGTGAGTGTAAGTACATATCACAGGCTCTTGAAAATAAGAGATTAAAAGGACAAATTTACATTCATGCCATTTTCTTTAGATCATGTTCACCATTTTTTTGTTGTTGTTGTTGCCAGAGCCCAAATGGATATTGGGCCTGAAGTCTGGCTTCCTAGGCTCGCATCCTGCCTCTGTGTGACCATGGGCACGTCCTCTAACCACTTTGACCCTTAGCTTCTGTGTCTGTGAACTTGAGTTAAACATACCTCCTCAGAGGGCAGCTAGATGGTGCAGTGGACAGAGCACCAGCCCTGGATTCAGGAAGACCTGAGTTCAAATTTGGCTTCAGATGCTTGACACTTACTAGCTGTGTGACCCTGGGCACTTCACCCCATTGCCTCGCCAAAAAAAAAAAGAAAAGAAAAGAAAAAAAAACCAATACCTCCTCTAATCTTTGTGTTGTTGTGAGGCTTAAATGAGCTGTTATTTGTAAAGTATTTTATAAACCTTAAAGTATTGTTTTCATGTACGTTTATTATGAGTGAACCTTAAAGTTCTGAATTCTTATTCTAATCCTGAGAACTTTCTAATCAAAAGTTGTGATCACATGTTTTGGAAATTCTTTACTCTTTCTGTTATATAATATCCTAGTCATAAATTTCTATCTTCTAGTACTGGTATCATGCCTTGCTTACTCTGAATGACATTAGAAGATTGAATTATTAATTACTTGTGAAATAATATATTGCCAGTGAGAAATGTTTATATATATATGTGCAATGTTTACATACAGTATAGAAAGAGTATTTTATCTCTGCCTAATTTTTGTAACCCTACTTTTAAAGCTTTTCTTTCTGTATAAACATCTTAGTTGTGTGTACGTATACATATAGTCACATATACAGACACACACATATATCCTGTCCCATCATCTTTCTCCGAGAAAAAGGAGAAAAATGTTTTTATTGCTTCTTCAAACATATGGAAGTTTAGCACAATTCTAAATGTGTAACATCAGATTCAGGGGGTACTGAAGTGTTAAACAGAAGGTTTCATATAGCAAGTTAAAAATCAATGTTATGTATGTGTGTGTTGAGGTATATATAAGTATGTATGTGTACATAAAGATATGTATTACAGTATATATTTTCACCCAAAATTAAAACATGTCCTTAAAACTCCAAAATAATTGCACAGGAGGAAAGAAGGAGTGGGAAAACACAGTCTTGTACACATCTTACACATAAGGAATATGATAATGAAAATAAAAACGATTTCCCCAGATTGACCTAAAAAGTCACATTGGAGCCAGGTCACCTAAGGAAATAGTACTTCATACCTCGTACTTTCTTTCTTTACTCTCAGATTAATTCGCAGTCGGCCTGCAACATCATGGGAGTCTTAAATGAAGAGTAATTAAAAGATTTCTTAATGAATCAGGAAGACAATGAAAGAAAAGGTTTTATTGCACTTATTTAAGGTGCTTATTTACCTCTGTTGATCTTATTTATTTTTTTTAGACTAGCACAAAGATTACTGTTACTTGAAGAAATGGAGAATGATCATGGTGGCCAGAAGACTGAAAAAAAGGCATCTTACGTGAAAGCAGCTAGGCTAGCCAGTAAAAGGAATCAGAGCCTTTTAAAGGTAAGTTACTTACATGACATGGGTATAGTTGGTTTGTAAATTTTCTGAAACTTCTCTTTGTGTGGTTGGGAATATTACATTTTTAAGTGAATTAAATCATTTTAATTTTAAAAATTATTTTGTGCTGAGAATAGACTGGCAACTTTTTACAAATACTTCATTAATTTTGAGTCAGGTAAGCAGAAGTATTTTTTTACTCACTAAGATAATAAAACTGAAGTACATTTAAGGACATTATTTAAAGTCATTCTCTGTGTGGGGGAATGAAATCAAAATCAGTTTTGTGCATGAAGTAGTATTTCAGACCATGTCCTGTATTTACATCTCTTGTTGCAGAGTTGTAATAACATCTGATTCAAGCTCTGTAAAGTTCTCTTTCACAAAAGTAAATACATTGTAACAGCCCCAAGTGGTAGAGTTCATGTTGGAGGAGGCAGATTTTTGGGGACTTTGAAGGTGGTTGAGTCGAAATTCATCCAGGAGTCCGCCTTGCTGCATCTTCCAGTCTACCCATGGGAAGGCAAATCCCATCCCCGTGAAATCTTCAACTTTGTTTTCCACAAAGTATCCCTTTCTCCATAGTTAACCCTGAGCTTTGCCCTCCATCCCAGCTTCACATTTTCAAATCCTTCTTCTTGGAAGGTTCCACGATGGTCGCATTTGTCAGGACATGAAACTTTCAGTTTTGTATTTTTCAGCATTTTCAGAGGTGGTTGAAGTTCCCAATGTCTCCGTCCTGTCTTTCCCTTCTAAGTCAGTTCGCTTTTCAGCTTCTAGTGGGTTGGGCCACAACAATTTGAGAGTCACAGCCACAGTGCTACTAAAGCATCTTAATTTACCATATGTCTTCTTTGCCAATGATGTTTGCACTGTTTTTTTTTTAAAACAGAAAATATATGATAATCTCAATTTGTCATGAAATGTCAAAAAGGAAAAAAAACCATACCCAAATTGGCAGGCTTGTGTTCTAGCCACTAGTAGCAGCCTGCCAAAGTGGTATTTAATCTTCAAGTGGACTCGGTTTATTCAAGTGTCTCTTATTAGTCAGTAAGTATTTATTGAATGTGTCCTGTTAGCTCAGTGCAGTGGGGAAACAAACATTATCTAAGGCTAAACACCTTATAATCAAGCATGAAACAATCAGTGGACTGTTGAAGACTGTGTAAGTAGGTAGGGAGTCTTATGTGCAGGTTTAGTGCCCAGGGAGTCTGTACTGTGAGATCCTGGAGTAAAGAGCTCGTGCAGTCAGAGAGGGTTCCGTGGAAGAAGTGGCAGTGCGAAGCTGCTTGGTTGGATTTTGGTTAAGAAGAGCAGGGATTCAATGGACCAAGGAGCAGGAGTTTTGGCCCAGGGCTTGGAGCACAAATAAAGGCTGAGCATGGAGAGTGTGGGGCAGAACAGTGACTGAGCAGTGTGTAGAGCTGGAGTCCTGGGTTCAAATTCTGGAGCTGGAGTCAGGATGAAGGACTGGAGAGACCACTTGTTTTTACTCCCTCTGTTACAGATGAGGACGTTGTGCCCTAGAGACAGAATGTGACTTGACCAGAGTCTCCCTGCTGGTGAGCAGCAGAGCGAGGACCGAGGCCTCTTTACTCCTAGTTCAGTGCTGTCTCCCTCCCCCCCCATAGCCTGCCGCCCTCAAAGAGCTTACATTCTAATGGGGGGAGGGGTGCCACACATAGAGAGGGAAGCTATAGCTAGGGAAGGTGAGGGTCAGCCCCTTTCCAGTAGGAAACTCCAGAGCTGTAATCCTCATCCAGAATTCTCTAATAGCATTTTCTTCTTAGACAGGATTATGATACTATGGAAGGGCTGGTGGCATGAACTTATTTCAGAAAGCTGCAACAGCTATGAGAACTCCCAGGAACTTTGCCATAATGGTTGGGAACTATTCATTTGATTAATGTTCCCAGAGCAAGAAGTGGAAAGCCAGTGGCAAGGTTAGAGAAAGGGGGAATGGGTGTGTGTATGGTGCTTAGCGGAGAATGGCGTGGAATAAGCATTTATTAAATGCCTGTAGGATGTCCGGCACAGTACTGAGTGCCTTAAAAATTTTATTTCATTTGATCGAGTGCACCGGGGGAGATGTTGAGATGGATAGCAGGAGGAATTTGGAATCAGGGCAGTATTGTGCTGACTAAATGTTTAATGAGCTTTCTTGTAGCATCTGGGTGAAAGATGAATTTGAGGGTGGTGGAGATACTAGAGCTCAGTAAGTTTTCTAAGACTCGACTGAGCTCTTAGACTGCAGGTGATATGATAGAAGGAGAGGCTAGGACTGAGGACGTGAGGGTAGTGGTTCAAAAGAGTGGTCCATTTGCTTCTGCAGTGGTCCATTTCAAAAGAAATATTAATGAGACATAATCATTGTATGTGATTCTGTGGTCCTGTGATTGTATCCCCAGCACAGATCTTCTATATGTCATCAGTCACCTCTCATGAAAGGGTTCCTGTTGGTAAAGCAGTGTAGTGACTGAAAATGGACTTCCAAATAAAGTAATTAAGGTTAAGGAAACAAAAAAAAATCATCCACTGGGTTTATCTTAAATGGATCTTTCTCAGTCAAACAACTAAGTTAAGTCTTTTCAGAGATCCATAGAATCTTATGGCTGAAAGGGACCCTAGAAGTAATTTTTCCAACTTTTTTTTTTTTTGCAGATGAAGGCCCAGAGAGATGGGTTAAGTTGTTTACCTAGGGTCTCACGGTGCATTTTAAATTTTTTATTCTATAGCCTCAATTTCCTCATCTGTGAAATGGGAGTAATACTACTTCCGGTGTAAGTCTCACTGAGTGGGTGTGGAAACTCTTTTCACGGAGACAGATGGCAGCCCATGTAGAGTCACCTCACTGAGGCTTCAGGAAGCTCACGGTCATTCCACTTGTCTGTGTCAAGAGGCAGAAATTGTACTCGGGTCTCCTGAATCCAAGTCTGACCCACCAGCCATTACACTTGGCCGCCTTTCAGTTCTAAAAAGAGAGAAAAAAGAAGTTTGGGGACAGAGGGCATTTGAGGGGATTAAGTTGGAATACTTCTTTATACAATGTGTGTGTGGGGTGTGTCTGTTTCAGATGAGTATCAGAAGGTTCTAGAGAGATGGACAAGCACACAAAAGGCACATTTTACCTACTTTGTATTTAGATTGTAGACCTATCAGTCTTTATCAGTGGCCACCCCGACCCACGTGCAAATTGCCTAGTGTGTGCTGAGCACTGTGTTAGTCACTGGGGACATAAAGGAAAAAAAATGAGATCTGCTTTGAAGGAGCTTACATGCTGTAACAGGAGACAGCATGTGCAAATATAAAGACGTGAGGCAATTAAAAATAAATGCAAGGTTTTACTTTCTTAAATATTTCAAGGATCCGTGTTTTCATTATTGCAGAAACTCCCTCCTTTTGATACAGTTTACAACCCCTGGTAGATGGAAGTCAAGTTTATGGTAGACCTCTCTGAACTGAACTAGTCTGGTCCTCCGACAGTATCCACATAGTGGTCAGCAGGCTCCTTCTGGAAACCTTTCCAGCTTGATAGAGGATCTGCTGAAGCCTGGCATTTCTCTGGCGTAACTTTCAAGAAACTAGGGTTACATCTTGCCATGGTGAGGTCACAGCATAGGATTTGAGCGGAGATGCTGGCTATAGGCTACCCCAAATCCTCTTGACCATTGGTGCTAAAGGGCTGACAGAGACTGTACATCAGTGGGTCTGGGATCTTGTCCGGTAGGATCAGGAGTCCTCCAGGTCATCTCATTTTATGCTTTTCTTACCTTTGACTTTCCAGGAATCTTTTTTCAAATATATCTTATTCTTTACAATGTACCTTCCCTTCTGTGGTAGAAGCAGTATTTTTAAAATAGTATTTTATTTTTTCCAGTTACTTGGAAAGACAAGTTTTAACATTAATTTTTTTTAATTGAGTTCCAAATTTTCTCCTCCCTCTCTTCAACTTTTAACATTAATTTTTAAAAAAATTTTGAGTTCCAAATTTGCTCCCTCCCTTTTTTCCCTCTCTCCTCCCCAAGACAGTAAGCAAATATGATATAGGTTATACATGTGCAATCATGTGAAACATATTTCCATATTAGTCATGGTGTGAAAGAAGAAACATTTTGCGAAAAAATTACAGTTTGCAAAAGAGAAAAACTATAAAAAAAAATAAAGAAAATGAAAATAGTATGCCTGGATCTGCATTCAGACTCCATCAGTTCTTTTTCTGGATGTGGATAGCATTTTCCATCATGAGTCTTTTGGAATTGGTAGGAACAATATTTTAGGTTTATTTTTTTCTTAAAAGTTATTGAGACCATCTTTTAGACTTGGTTAGCTGCTGGCTCAGAGGCGAGAAAGCCTCCAGGAGTTCTAGGCTTTCTCTCTGAGGCTTGGTCGATAGATCACAAGGAACAACGCAGGAAAGGAAGTTTCATTCACTGAACTAACTCGAAGGGCCCCCAGTGTCCTTCCTTGTTGAATGTTCTTGTGCTGCTATGGCTAAGTGAATCTCTTTTTGTTAACTGTTGAATGATCTCTGAGTGTCTCACTTTATTCTAATATCAGACCTAAACTACCAAGAGACTGGCCTGCGTCAGGCCCAGCCTAGAGCCGCTTCCATGATTTCCTTATGTCCAAGATCTCCTTACTCCAGTCTGTCCCGTTTAAGTGTGTCAGATAATCTCCCTAAAACAATATTTTCATGTCATTTCTGCTTCATATTTTTTAATGGCTTGCCATTGAGGATTTTTCAAATAAAATTATAGTGTCTTAGCTAAGCCTCCAGAATTTGGACCCCAATTCCATGCAGTCAACCAACCAGTCAAATAAAATTAAATAGCTACTTTAAGAAGCTTACTTTTGAGTGAGGGAGGAAAGGTATATATAGTAATAACTACATTGGATGTCCCTTCATTTTCTTTGTCCTCTTCTCCTCGGCTGATGTGACATTCTAGCTCTGATAGCTAGAATAACTGCTCCTCATCTGTGCTTAGCATGACTGGCTGGACTGT